TCCCCCCCCCCCCCCCCCACTTCTCACAAAGAAGCTACGCTCGTTGATAACGTTTTATATCCGTAGCGGCAATGTTTCGACACATTTCGAACCATCATCTTAATCTATATAATATTATTTTTGTGAAAATTCGTCACTTTTGTCGCAGAACCACTTATCTTTTGAATTTGGACAATTTATCTGTGGCTCAGAATCATTTAAAGGGTGCACAGTTATTTTAAAGAGTCTGAAGTCACTGTAGTTTAATTTCAGTTTTTCATTAGTTTTGTTTAGAGCTAATCTTGGGAAAGTCCGTCTTCTAAGACGACATTGTAAACAAGGGAGGCTTCCATTCACAAGCAGTGTCGCACTGGTTCCACAATGACCTGATGATCGATTCTTTTGAGTCTGTTCTTTGAACAGGTACCCAGCTAGTACACAAATGTGAGGCGGCGTGGTGGAATCAGGCTCTCGTCAAAATAATCTAAGTGAAGAAACTTGCAGTTTTACGCAGGTTTGTAAATTTTTACCAAATTTTTGTTTTTTGGCTCAACACATTTCAAGCCCGTTAAAGAACTCATTCCTGTGTGGATTTTTCTGAAAAGCGTTGATTAAAGGCACAACAATGTACATTTTTTTCAGTTACCACGGACTCTTTAGCTAACTAAATAATTATCTTTTGCGGTCATTTTCTCACTAATTTTACCTCTGAAAACAGCTGACCCCTACATCCTTCTTTCGCAAATATCCCGACTTATATTCAAGATAAATGGATATTTTTTTCATTCAAATAAAGACAAGTGAACAAGCTTTAAGATGATACCAATAACTTTACATACTCAAAAATCGACGAGAGCCTGATTCCACCACGCTGCCTCACAAATAATTATAAAGCACATAGAGTACACTGTAGACGCGGGGATGTGCGCTGTATAATTGCAATTATTAGGCTTTAATTATACCTGAGAACTGTACAAGGGCCAAGTGCTGGGCAGTCTGCCTGCCGGGGAAGAATACTGGCCATTGTTGGTCAGTACGTTATACAGAGCCTCGCCTGTGGCCTGAGCGGGAAAGAAACATTCCATGATGGCTGCCACACGGTCAGACTCGTCGGCAAATGTAATGTTGAGAGGGCTGGCCGAGAAGAGAAGCAGGATGATCTGGGCAGAGCCACCTGGGCGGAAACAATGTGGAAAAAATGTTATTTTTCTCTAAATAAGAAATGTGTATTGGTTTGGTTGTGTTCAACAGTTATGGACGCGTTCCACTTAGTTTCTCCCTCTCTTTCTTTCTCTCTCTCTGTCTCTCTCTTTGTCTGTCTGTCTGTCTGTCTGTCTGTCTGTCTGTCTGTCTGTCTGTCTGTCTGTCTCTCTCTCTCTCTCTCTCTCTCTCTCTCTCTCTCTCTCTCCCTCTCTCTCCCCCCCTCTCTCTCTCTCTCTGGTCTCTCTCTCTCTGGTCTCTCTCTCTTTCTCTCTTTTTCTTTCTCTCACCCCGCCCCGCTTTGTGATGCTGAAAGCAGATAACAAAGTTGGCTGCATACAAAGGAGAAATAGCCTTGTAAGTAATAAATTAAAAATGAAATATGAAAAAAGAACAGATGATGCATTTCGTCATACTAACGTGGTCACATTCACTGATCAAGGAAGTCATCGAAGACATAAATAGAATTAATCCATTCGGATCACTATTTGTGCTCGTATCGGAAGGCATTTTAAAAGATTTGAACATACGTTACCCAACAAAATTTGACCCCACAAACAGACCTGATCATATTCGAACACATGGGAAATCTGACTTTGCAGGTAAGAAGGTTACCGGTTTTTTTCCCTATCTGCTTATCACATTGTAATTATAATAACAAGGGCGCCTATGATTCTATAAGCAAAAATGATTCATCCCCATCAACAGTCTTGATAACAACGTTTATGTAAGTAGATGTCTTCCACAATTCAGACAATAACATGTCACTTCATGACGACATCATTTACTCAAAGCGTGTATACACTTAGGCATCTTAACACAGGATTCTTAGCTTTGTAATCAATGCCCCCCACTCACCCACCCACCCCTCCCCCCGCCCCTTCTTTTTCAAATCATGGGTCTTAGCTCTGCATTTCCCCTCCTTATCAAGTCAAACATTTTAGCCACCCGACTCCATTTTTTGAAACAAGAATCTTAGCTTTGCAACATGCCCCCCCCCCCTCCTCTTTTGTATCAGGAATCTTAGCTCAGGGGACCCACTTCCCCTTTGAAACAGGAACATTAGTCCTGAAGGACCACCTATTCCGTTAAGATTAAGCCAAAATGAGAACATCTCAATGAACACCAAAATGAAAGTCCTGAAATGCTATGTGTGGTCAACCCGTCTATATGGCTGTGAATGCTGTACAATCACTAAAGACAGTGAAAATAAAATAGAAGCAACAGAAATGTGGTTTCTTTGGAGACTGCTAAGAGTATCGAGA